TGTAGGTTGTCTCTTCACTCCATCGTTTTCTTTGCTGTGCAGGAGCTTTTTAATTTAACATGATCCCATATAGTGATTCTTTTTTTTTTTTTTTTTTTTTGTATTTTTTGAGACGGGGTCTCGCTATGCAGTCCTGGCTGGCCTTGAGCTCACTTTGTAGCCCAGGTTGGTCTCGAACTTGCAATGATCCTCCCACCTCAGCCTCCCGAGTGCTGGGATTTTAGCTTCATATATTGATTCTTGATATTATTTTTCATACAATTGGTGCTCATTGCAGAAAATCCTTGCATATGGCTATGTCTTAAAGAGTTTTCTTATCTTTCAATATTAAATCTGTTTTAATGTTTAGATATTTGATTTTAGTTTTGTACATGGTGAGAGAGATGGGTCTAGATATGTGTCTAGTCAGTTTTCTGCATGTGGACAGTCAACATTCCCATCACTGTTTACCAATTAGGTTTTCTTGCAGCATGTGATTTTGGCATGTTTGTTGAAAATCAAGTGGCTGAATCCATGCAGTGCTGTTTTTGCATCCTCTCTTCTGTTCCATTGATCCACATGTCTGTTCTTGTGCAGTACCATGCTGTTTATTACAGTAGGTTTGTGATATAACTCAGAATCTGAGATTGTGTTGCCTTTTACTTTACTTTTGTTGCCCAGGATTGCTTTCATTATTCTGGTTCTATATGAATTTTGGATTGTTGTCTCTAGTTCTGAGAGGAATGCTGTTGGCATTTTGATTTGTATTGCATTAAATCTGTATTTCAATGTTTGAAGTATATTTATTTCCACAGTGTTGGTTCAGCCTAAATAGGAAGAAGGGACATTTTTCTACTTTCTGATGTTCTCCTTCATATCTTTTTTGATATCTTTCACTTACTTCCTTATGTTAAATTCTAAGTATTAAATTTTTCTTAATGCTATTGTACATGGTATTGTTTTTCTAACTTTTTTACAGTGGGTTCATTATTGGAGTATAGAAATGCTATTAATTTTTGTGATTTTTATGTTCTGCTACTTTGATGAATTTGGTTAATTTTAGGAATCTTTGGTGGATCTTTTTTGAGTTTGTATGTAAAAGATTGTGTTCTATAAATAATCTGACCTCCTTTCATATACGTGTGTTGGGTGTGTGTGTGTGTGTGTGTGTTTATTTTTTCTCTTGCCTGGTGTTACTTTTTCTCTAGCTAATGTTTCAATGAACAGCTGTGGTAGCAGTGGATATTTTTGGCTTATTCTTGACTTTGGAGGAAAAGCTTTCAGGTTTTTTACATTTAATATGTTGTCAGTAAATTTCTCATAAATGATTTATGAAATTGAGATAAGGTCCCTTTCTAGTTATTTTATTTAGAGTTTTATTGTGAATGAATGTTAGATTTTATTAAAGGCTTTTTCTGCATTGAGATGATCATATGATTTTATTGTTGCTTCTGTTTATGTGATATATTACTTTTATTGATTTGCATGGATTGAAACATCCTTCCTATGATAGCTTGGACCCCGGAATAAATCCAAGGAAGCAAGAAATTAAGAAATTTGGAGCAAAGGCTTTATTTCCAGGCCTGGCGACGCAGCCTCCAGGAGCCAATATGGAAGACTGCACGCCTAACAGACTAAGGGTGGGGTTTTTAAAGCAAGAAAACCGCAAAGCTGTTGACCTATTTCAGATAACATCTGGGATTCTTGGTACATTCCATTGCTCTCTACAGTTAAGCATTTTCCCAGCACAGCACGCCTTGCAGAAACATGTGGAAGGGGGATTGGGGAGGATTTACAAGAAGCTGAACCTTAAGTCTTTACTGGAAATGGAAATTTAATCCTATCGAAAACGGCACATACAGAACAGGACAGAGGCGCATTGGCTAGAGGTAGGCCATCACAATTCCATCCCTGGGACGAAGCCTATTTGATGATGACATATGAGCCTTTTGAAGATTTGTTGCATTTTGTTAGTATCTTATTGAGGATTTTTAGGTCTATATTTATTAAAGGAATTGGCTTGTAGGTTTTTTTTTTTAAATACAGGTCCTTATCTGGGTTTGGAATCAGGATAATGCTAGCTTCCTGGGAGCACAGGTTTTCAATGTATTTACTAATGGTCTTATGCATTTTGGCAGTGTCTGTTGTGATTTTTCATTTCTAATTGTATTTGGGTCTGCACTTTCCTTTTTTTTTGGTAAAATTAGTTCTGTATGGGTTTAATTTGTTTATTCTTTTGAAGAACAACATTTTCTTTGATTTTTTGTGTTCTTTTTAGTACAATTTCATTAATGTTTTCTGGATAGTCATCTTTATTATGAAGAGACCAAGAAAGCTCGTTCCATCTGCTGCTTCCCCTCCCCTTCTCCCTTCAAATCCAACTAGGTTAAGTTTTAACTTCCTAAAGGCCATAAAACAAAGGCCTGAGGTAATAGCTCCTGACATCCTGGGTCTTCCCTATCCAGAAGCCCCATCACAAATTGTGTTAATTGCATCAGATTGTATTAGATTGTACATTCTTCACAAAAATAGCTTCGTTTATATCATAGTAATACCTGTAACTGTAAATGTGTGTCTTCCTTTTCCTCTAGGCAAAAGATTGATATGTTAATCAATGCTCTCTGTAAAGAATTGTAAAATCTTACCTAATCGATATGCTAACCATTGTTGCCCTCTACAAATAGAACGGTTGTGGTGCTAAAGTAAGGTAATTAAGGTTGTTAATTGCTGTTAGACTTTTCTATTCAGGAGGCCTTGTGGTGCGAGTTTCGAAACTATGTGCAGCTCCACCCCCACAGGAACCAGTGTTCTTAAACAGTTAAGACAAACAGTCTTAACCTAAGGCAGATCTCTCAGTCATGAGACAAACGCCCATTCCTAAGAAATGCCACCCCTTCTAGGGAGACACTCCCTTGCCCCACTAAAAAACCCAATCCCTTAAGGACAGCTCACCATCAGCTCTGCTCTAATCGCTATGATTGGCTTCTGTAACAATGCTTGCTTGCTTTGTGGTTTTTATCCTTTAAAACACCAGCCTTGCCCCAACTCAGGGTTCTCCGTTTCCACCTGTTTGGAGGACCCCGTGTACACGGAATAATAAAAACCCCTTTGTTTTTACATGAGAGCAAGGCCCTTGGAGTCCTCCTTGCGACACCGGTCTAACAATTAGAAGTCATTTTCATTAGACTGTCTTTTCATTAACAGTTGGAAACTACTTCTAGAACTACAAAGAAGCCAAAGAAGCTAATAGTTTTCAGAATTCAATGAAGTGTACTTCCTGTCAGGCCATGACTATCTAACAGTAATATGGTGCAAACCACTTTTGTAATTTTAAATTTTCTAGGAGTTAGCTTTAGAAAGTGAAAAATAAACATGAAAATAATGTATTAATGTATTATTTAGCCCGAGGTATATATGCAGTATTATTTCAATTGTCATCAGTGTAAGAATTAAGATATTTTATATTTGATTTCCTAGTGTTTGAAAAATGGTATATAACTTTTTCAATTTGGAGGTCATATTTCCAATTACATCTGTAGTCAGATCAATAGCTACATATGACTGACTAGTGGCTACTCTATTGAATATGGACAATGGTAGGGAGTCTACCTTCAATTTCTTTCTCCCTTATCACTCTGGAACTCTGATAGGAACTGTCAAATGCCTCTCGTTATTAATAGGGTCTCCTTTCAATATTTATTTATTGCTATACTGAATATTGAACCCTGTGCATCACATAAAGCAACATGTTTGGTCGATTTTTTAAATTTTGAGACAGGATTTGGCTAAGTTGCTAAATTGTCCAGGTTAAGCTCAAAATAGTGAACTTCTTGCCTCCCTGTTGGAATTACAAGTATTTCCCATTATATATGACATTATTTATTTTTTGACATAGTTATCTAGTTTCATAATCTGATTGTAACTTGTGGAGGCCAGAACCATAGCCTCATTGAATCTCATTGGAAATAACTATAATAAATTGTTTTCGACATATTGTTCCTCTGTATAAATCCCCTGCTGAATATTCACAATCTTGGTGACAAATCCAATGGTTGAGTTATTTACACATGTGCTAAAATGTACACACTCCTTTATCTTGTGCTACAATGCATCTTCTCAGAATCTGAAACCTATTGCTTTGAAGTTTTACATTACATGAAACAAATCTATGTCACGATTGATTTTTTTTTCATATTTGTGGATAGTCAGGTAACTTTTGTTCTCCCTAGGGGAGTACTTCCAAATTTGATCAATACTTCATTTCTCCTGCCTAAATTGTCATTATTTTTGTCTCTGAAATAATGCTAACTTTATCCAGGTTTTCTTAAAGTACAAGTACTTGAGATATGGTCTCGCTATTGGAGGGTATAAAAGGATGATTATTCGTTGCTTCTGTATAAAACACTTCTATCAGTCCCCTTACGAGAAAGGGCTTTAGCCCAGAATTCTATAAACATACACCACACAATTCTTTAGCTTAGTTTTTCTTAATGAATGTATTCCTGCTTTCAGCTGCACGTTTGAAGCGTGCGGGTGTGTGTGTGTGTGGGGGGGTGGGGTTCCTGTACTGAGTGGAGGAGAACTTTATAAGATTCATGCTGAGAATCCATAAAATTCGCAGGAAAGTGAGGCCAGGGAACGGTGTGTAAAGTGCCAGCAGCTACGGGGCTTACGGTCTCGACAGCAATTTTCTATGGCTCTTCTTTCCTTCACCCGTAGTAGGAATTTATTACACGTATGCACCAGAGCAGGGCGCGGACAGAACCAGGCCGACCGAAGTGATAGCAGGAAAAGACTCACGTTGCGGAGCAGGGGAGCGCGCGCCCGGGCCTGAGCTGGCGCGCGCCACGCAGAGTCCTTGACGGCGCGCGCCCGGCAGGGGCTCGGCCTAACCCCCGCAGCCACGTCGGGGCCGCCGGGCGAGGGGCGGGGCGGCGGCGCGCAGGCGGCAGGCGATGACGCGTGACGTTGGCGCCGGCGCTGGCGGGTGACGTGTGCGCCGGCGCCCGCCCCGCCCGGTCCCTTCTTGCTGGCCGGGTCCGCAGGTCTCTCAGGCGGTCCCGAGTTACCGCGCCAGGGGTCGAATAGTTTGGTGCGACGCGGCCCGCCACAAGCGGGGCGAGAAGAGGGCGGAGCGTGCAGCTGTCCACCGGCGTCCTCGGCTCTGCCCTCTACTCGGACGAAAAAATAAAAGCGAAAGGGAGGGTGGCGCCGAGGCTGGACCGACGAAGTGATAGGAAGCGGGTGAGTTGGGGTCGGAGGACGAGGAAGTGGGGGGAACGCAAGGGGTTCCGCCGGAGGTTTGGCCCGCCGGGCGGGCGGCGAGGTCTGAAGCAGGGCCCTCGAGCCGGTCGGTCTTTCTGTCTGGGCAAGCCTGGAGCTGTCATCCCGGCCACTCCTGGAGTTAGTAGGTAAGGGTGGGGATAAAAAGAAAGCCTGAGCCACTTACTGACCAGGTGTTGGGCCACAAAGGGTGATTTATTTTTTTCCTGCGTAGATGGCAGTTTCCATTAATTTTTTTTTTCCTGGTTTCAGAGCTATGGTTTTCTTTTACGTAGATTTTTGGGAGGAAAATCAGCCTCGTTGTATCCTCCCACCCCCAAAAAAGTGAATGTATTGGATTGGGAATTAATTTGACTGGATCGTGGTTGAATGTAGCAATCGAGAGATAGATAGGGTCATTTTGAAGTATATGTTTGCTACCAGGTGGTATGGATAGGTGGCTGATTTTTAAAAGATAAAAGTTTTCTGCTGATGAATCAACTTACTCATACAATGCAATCTGCTCGTGTATTATATTTTAATTTAAATGATGTGTAATGTTAGCGGCAATTGAAAGTTTGATTCGAATGGTGTCGCGAGTGCATTTCAAATTGAAATAATATTTTTTGTCTTTCTCTAAGTTAAAGTTAGGTTGAATAGTCAGGATCTCTTATCACTAGAATTCATATTTTACAACCGAAGTGATTTTTTTCTGATTTTTAAAAAATGTCTTCAAAAGTTGAGAATTTGGCTTTCGATTCATTCTAGTTTGGAGTGTCTGCCAGTTCATGCTGTATGTTTTATTTTTAATGATGATTCTAGTACTCATCTTTTTATTATAAATATTTTGATTAGAAGGTACAGTTTCTCAGGGGTTTCATAGTTTAAAAAGTTACAATTACATCATATTGAAACTACATTAGAAAATCAGTGCTGTCGATAGAATGGGTTGACTTTGACCATGTAGTTTTCTCACAGCTTTTATGGAATGTGCATGAAGAAATATCTGTTCTCCTTGCTCTAATTAATTGTTCTTTTACTGAAGTTTCTAGTGTAGTATGTACAGTGTGGTGAAGTAACAAGGCTAGCTAAGAAGCAAAAGTTGCCCAATAAGAAGATAGACCTTGGTCTTTCCCAATCTAATGGACTAGGAAATGCTCCAAGCCATGCTTCTTTAAAACTAAGAAATTGTAGTGATCTGAAGACTGTTGTATTGAAAACTCAGCCATGCTGAGAGTTTGGGTCCTAACAAAAAAATAAGGTGTAGTAGTAAAAGTAAACAAAGTAACTGCGAATAACAGTGTTTCCGAGGTCAACTCTTTCGTGGTATTCCATATAGTACAAAATCTTATAAACAGAAAAATAAGATATAATGAGTACAACATTTTAAAAATGTTTATCTTACATGACAATGAACTTCTTTTTAGAGGATGCATTTGGCTTCACTGCTAAGTATGTAATTGAAAAGAGACAGATGCACAAACTATGCCAAATGTGATTCCAGTGTTGAGAAATTTTCCATAAAGAATGATAGAATAGTTGAAAATATGCATGAAAAATGGGCATGTAATCTTCTTGATGGCATTATCTGATGTTTTCTTGGGTGACTGTTGCCCTTCTTCTGAAGATGAGGAGCTACTGCCTCCCATCACAAATGTTGTAGTCTGCCTTAGTCCTCACACAGATGTGTAGGGGATGAATGAAGGGTGGGGTGCACAACCATCGGTGGCACCAGTAATACTAGACTTGCAAGAAGGAAAAGATCTGTAGAGAGGCCAGTTGCCAGTTAAGTATAGGCTGAATAATTTCATGTATCTAATTGAACGAATTTTTTCTCTGGTTCTGGGACTTAAATTTAGGACCTTGTTGAGTGCTCCCGTGCCCCTCTTTTGATACGTTTAACATTTTTCTAATTTACTAAGATGCCCAGACTGGCTTAAACTCAAGTCTTACTGCTTCAGCCTCTCAAGAGTGTTGACATTACAGGAATGTGTCACCACATCCAGCTGAATGAACTAATTGTTGGTGATTTAGCTTTCTTGATCCTGTTGAACAGAGCTTTTTTTTTTTTTTTTTTTTTTTTTTTTTTTTTAAATGAGGGGGTATAATTCATTCATTCATGTCTTCATGTGTACCAGGCACTATATGAGGCTTAGGAAATAGAGATATAATTTCTGCTCATGGAAGTTCCTGTAGGGGAATCCAGTAATATCCTTTTAAGAGAGAATCTTGACTAGTGTTCCTTTTCATGTCATAGAGCTCTAGTTGATGATGGCAAAATTTTTTACAAGAATGCATTATTGTCAATGTTTATGTATAACTAGCATTTAAAGAACATGACTTGATACTGCTTTGCTACTTAAGGGGAGTGGTTTTTTTTTTTTTTTTTCCTTTTTGCAAAGTTAGTTTAAAGTTCACAATTGGAATTCAGTATTTACCTGAAAAAAAAGTTTTTTATTTTTCCAGTATTTACATGGAGTGGTTGATTTTTTTTTTTAATACATTAATAACTTATAAATTCAAGAGTTCCATACACAAAGTATTTAGATTAGGAACATGTGTGGAATTTATTGAGTAAAGCAAATTTATTGCCCGTGAAACCTTTTTTGGAGAGGTAGATAAACCTATTCTATATAAAATAAGTTGTCATATAGTCTGGTACACTTTTCAATTTAAAATGTCTACCTCAAATTGAAGTTTTAGCGAGGGCAAATATCTATGTAAATAAGAAGTGCAAAATTACCAAGGAGAAGAAAGTAGGGTATAGATTGAGCATTTTTAACTTAAAAATCCAAAATCTAAAACTTTTTGAGCTCTGAAATAACATCATAAGTAGAAAAATTCACAGCATAAAACATGTACAAAATTATTTAAAATATATGAAATCAACTTTAGACTGTGTATAAGGCATATATGAGAAATGAATTCCATGATATCTCAGTATATGCTGGCAGATAATCTAAAATCTGGAGCATTTTACAAAAGAAATTCTCAGTCTCCACTTAATACCTGTTTAACAGCCATCAGAGGGAATCTGTTGTGTGTTTATCTCATACATTATTATGTAAAATTGCAGTAGGGAGTAGATTTTATTTCTTGTGTCATATGCCTAACTTTGGGCAGAGTTAATCAGAAGTGGAAAAGACCTAGCCCAGATTTACTAAACCTAGAAGAAATGTGGGAATCTAACAAAATGATAGACAGGACCTATATTAAACATTCACTCATGTACCTTCTCATTTAAGTCCCGCATTTTGCATGTAGGTTAATATGTGAAATCTAATTAAATTTTATTTTTCTACTGATGGCTGGAGTTGTTCCTAATTTCGCTTCAGAGATAATGTAATTTAATTCATATATGGGAATTCTGTTTAGTTATATTTTTCAACCTGATTTTTCAGACCCTTTGTATTTTATTAATACAAAAATTAGTATCAGAGCAATTAGATGATTTTCTACCCTGAAACAAAATCTAGCATCTGAACCTAATTCTGTATTTTTATTTTGTTTTCTATGTCATTCTGACTCCCTTTATTATTGTTGGACAAGATTAACTCTTGGAGGGCTTTATAAATTAAGATTCTCATGCCTCTTCTAGGATTTGGTGGGTTTTGGCTAGTTTTTCTCCACTTCTGAAATTTACTCTCCGAAAATAATTCTTAGGAATTGTAGTCATTATCAGCAGTTTGTACTGGTGTAGACAGGCTGCAATTTGATGAGGCACATAATTAACAATTTAGGAATAAGTATGAAATTTACAGTTTAACTATAAGCATTCTTAGGATATGTTTTAAATAAGATAATTGCTAATTGATGAGTACTTTTGTGTGGGGGGACAGAAAATACACACCTAGTTGTTTAGCTAAAGAATGCTCATTACTGAATCAGAATTTTTGGAGATAGGACCTGAAAATAAGTATTTTCAAGAAACTCCTTGGGGCTGGTGATTTAGCTCAGCGGCATAAGCGCCTGCCTTGCAAGCAGGCAGTAGTCAGTTTGATCCCCGGTACCAATAAAAAAGAAAAAGACCAAAAAAAAAAAAAAAAAAAGAAACTCCTCAGGGATGTATTTGATTATAGTATTACAGAATTTCTTTAAATTTGAGAGATCAGTATCCTCTCACTTGGGAGATACCTGTTCCTTGAATTTAAAAAAAAGATAAAGTAATTTATCTCAGGACTATAGAATAATTGAACTTCAAAGAGAAGAAAAGCAATTTATCTCAGGATTATAGGATAATTAGGGTAACAGTTACTAATGTTTCTCACCATTTTCAAAATCTTACTGAATTACTGTAAATTAAGGGGTTGTTAGTGAATTCTTACTTGTGATTAGCTAGTAAATATGACGTTAAATGAATTTCATTAGAGAAAACAAAAATTCCATTCCAGGAGAAGTAACCCATGCTTCTTGTTGAGCTTGTTGTCTGGAAAACTTTCTTTTCTGTTTTTGTTTTTTGAGACAAGGTCTTGCTGTATAGTCCAGACTGGCTTCAAACTTGTGAGCGCCCCCACAGTCTTCTGCATGTTAGAATTACAGGCCTATGCCATGGCACCCAGCCAAACATTCCTTTACTTTCTTATGTCCGTTAGGTTAATCAGATGGAATGATGTAAAAATGTTAAATTCTCCTCTTAAGTGTAACAGAAGCAAAGGCACCTTCTTGATTTAAGACATTTAAATATAAAATTATATGTAAATGATTTTCAAGAAGAAATTAATATTCACTTTGCAAAAATGATTTCAGTACATGTTTTGCAGGGTAAGTGTGTTTTTTAAAGTGAGCCCTTCATTATATTCTTTAGCTCTGGGGGAGGGAGGGTCACTCTTTCTCAGCATTCTTAAGTAGTGAAGAAAGATTTGCAAAAATATTAACAATATATGTATCCTAATCATTAGAAAGGTAAGAAATAAAAGCCACTTCTAGACCACTTTACCATTTAATGCTCTGAACAGATCAATCAAGAAATATCACAAAGTACTATAAGAAACGAAAGACTATACTACTGGTCTGCTTTTGGAAGTTATTGCAAGGATGCTGGCTCTGTGATGTGCTTTAGTGTTACTGACTTGGAGCATGACCTTGTCATTGATTAGTTGAATGTGACCATCAGCCTGGAACAATTTGAATGAGATGTTAGGAAGTTTGAAGAGTGGCTGATTTAACTCCAGCTTTTCAGTGGTGTGTTCTTACAGTGTTTATTTAAAATGGAACATTGGGAGAATATTGCTGAAGTGCTAAATCCAGTGAATATTTTAGCCACATATCTTGATAGTTACTTACATAGTTGACTAACTTTTCTCATAAGTCTTTTTCTTGCCTTGGATTTGGCGCCACAGCACTTCTGGTTCCTCTCTCATCTTTTTGTCCAAATATTGTTCAAAATTTTCTTTTTTTTTTTAATTTAAAAAGATTAAGATAAAAGAGAACATAACAAAACAGGTTGGAACAGAACAGTTTAAACAACATAGTGTTTCACCACAAGACAATCCAATGTAACAGTAGCTACCATAGTATCTCTTTCCTTGAAATAATTGAGTATACCTTAATATACTGTAGTATCAAACATAAAAAGACAGTGTAAAACCATTCAAGAGAATGAAAGTATTACAGGGTTTCAGAATCAACTAACAGAAAACGAATAAAGGTTATTATATTATCTCCTTGTCTATAAAATATTATGTTTATACCAGCACATATAATATCCAGTAAGATACAATATGAGAAAACCAATGGAGACAGAAGAACCAAAGCTTGGTGGGACTTCGAAACAAGATGATATTAAATCATCACTAGCTATTATAAAAATTTCCTTGATAGCTATTATAAAAATTTCCTTTTCTTCTTGGATATTTCTGGAAAGCTTGTGCTCTACCTTTTGCTGTTTTTTCTTAATTTATCCACAAAAATCTATTTTTGCGGTTTTGTTGATGATTCTCCGATTTATATCTTGACACCCATCTCTCCCGAGTTACACACCTGAATAGCCAGTCCCAACTAACTATTTTTACTTGAATGCCATTAAATCATCTGAAATTGAGCACATTGAGATTAGGTTAGAAACTCATCTACAAAATAAAACAAATCTCTGCGTTATGTCTGCAGATTTTCCATCAACCTGATTGATATATGTGGAAGTCAACATTGAACTTCACTCCTGTCCCTCTACCAAAATTATAGATAATATGTGAGTCAAGTAAATGTGATTTACATAATTACTGTACTTTTATTCATCCACTTTAAAAAATTCACTGTCATTCTTTAAGGCCCACCATCTCTTTATCTTTTATTTGGATTATTGCAATCTCATATTAGGATCTTTCTGCTCCCAGTCTTGGCTTCTTACGTTCCACTGCATTTACTGCAGGTATAGTAATCCTAATGAAACACAGTTCAAGTAAAAAAGACGTTTGGAGATTTCTTTTAATATTAAGTGATTTCTAAACTGTTATGGTTTGGATTTTTGAAATGTTCCCCAAAACATGTGCTAAAGGCTTGATTGCTAGCTGTTGGGCTTTTGGGAAGTGCCTGGATCATGAAATCATAATTTGATGGTGTTATTGGTATGTGATAGTAACAAGTTATATGTCTTAGTTGAAGGGGATGAATCATGGGGGCATGATCAGTGATCTCTGATCACTTTTCCTTGGGCTCTTTGGCTTTCTGTTTCCTGGCTGACAGGATAGCTTTCCTTTGTCATGCTTTTATACTGTGATATTTCTGCCTCTTTATGGGCCTAAAGCAATGTAGCTGGCCAGCTATGGACTGAAAACACTAAAACCTTGAGCCAAAGTAAGTTTTTTCTTTTTAACTCCCCTTTACCCTCAGGTATTTTAGTCACAGCAACATGAAGCTAGCTAACTCCTACACGTAACCTGGATAATAAAGCCCTTTATGACTTGCTTCATACGGCCTCTCAGGCTTCATTTCTTGTCATAATCATCTCTTGGTCTCTTGAAAGTGTCACGTTCCCGTTGCACAGCTGGTATGTGCTACTTTTTACCTGACTCTTCATCTGTGAAATCTTGATTTCTGAAAACTTCTTGATCCCCCTTTCTTGCTAGGATCTCCTTTCTTTCTTTTGACCTAATAGTGTTTCAAATCTTGCCTTACAGGGTAGATGCTCTTGCACTGTGTTTCAGAAACACTTTTCTGCCACTTTTCATAGCATTGTTTTATTTTGTTTTGAGTTAACTGACTTAACTGTTCTCCTTGGACAGTAATTCATAAGGGTGATCACTAGATTAATTTTGGTTACCGTGGTCTACCTCACATTATATCCAGTATATAGTAGAATTACTAGTTAAGAAATAGTTAAATGAATGAAAGCTATCACATTATTATACTATGATTTTTCCTTCTGAGGCCAGCTCTATCCTAGGGTTTCTAATAGCTATTGTCTTTTCTTTTGGCCTTGTTTTCTCTTTCCTACTTTATACAGATTTAGACGATGTTAAAGTATTAATTTTATTTTCTTTTTTAATTAAGTGAACTTAGAGCTGGGCTGTTTTGGCTACCAGACACACTGAAATTGTATACAACTTTACTCTTTGGGGTACTTTTAAATCTAGGAGCTTGTGAATGTTAGGCAAGTGCCCAACCCCCTAAATAGTAATTTTAGAGTTGTGTCTACATGCATAAACTTGAGTTCTTTGGAAGAATATTAAAAAAAAAACTTCAACATTTTAAATTTTGGGAAAGGCATAAAAGGCTTTTATGTTTGTGAAAACATACTAGTTTATAAAACATCTGCTAAGACTGAAATCAAATTTCTATGAAAAATATTTTTGAATTCTTAAAATACATAATATAAATATTGTATGTATATATTTTCAGACGTGTAAATACTGCCCTTTTTTTCTTGAAATCAGCTTTAGCCTTCCTTTTTACCTCTACATCTATCCATTATACAGATACATATTTACTGATAACCATGTCCTAGACATGGGTTCAGGTGCCATGGATATTGCAGGGAACAGAGTTTATAGTCTGTTAGGTGAAATTCACATAAACGCAGAATGTTTGTTATGTAAGTACTGTGGACTAAAGTGGGTCCTGTACAAGAGAAACCACCAAAAAGCATGTTGTTATTTTAGGTTGGTTCATCGGAGGTGGATTCTTCATTAAAGAGACTAAATTATTTAAGCAAAAAACTCAAGCATGTGGGGGAGCCATCTATGTTAATGAAAAACTTAACAAGAAAACAGATTTCTTCAACTTTAAGCAGTTCCCTCCTTAGACTTCCCTGTTCCCTATGGTTACCATTCCTTATTCTGTTACAAATAAAGTTAAGAGACTTTGTTCCTGTAAGTAAGGTTTATGGCCCTTCACTTCTATAAGGTGCTATTTTTTTCTACCAAGATATGCTGAGTTACAAAAGTATCACTACTTGAATTCAACTACCTTTGACTTTCTAGAAACTAGCTTGCCCACTTACTGGTTTTGTGCCACTAGTTAGACTGACCACTTGTATAAAACTGAGACTTTTTTTTGTTCGAAGCTCAGTCTTTGGATATGAATTTAATGAACCAGTGCATACCTAAATCAGTCTTTCTGTTTCACCTGATGGTCTCTCCCGTCTCTGTTTTTTTTTTTTTTTTGACACAGGGGATTGCTATTAGTCTAGGCTGGCCTTAAACTTACTATGCACAGGCTGATCCAACTTGTGGTGGGCCTCCTGCCTCAGTCTCCCGAGTGCTGAGTTTACAGGTATGTACCACCATATCTGGCCTCTGGTTTCTTAAGTTCTGCAAAATTTCTGACATCTAGCAAAAGAGTTCTTGGTATAGTTACATCATTGGAAGGAGGACCATGTAGATATGTATTTATATGAGCAAAGAAGAGAAAGTTACAGGAGACCAAATCAAAACAGAACACAGAACACTTTGGAGCTTTTGAAGTTTTCTCAGAAACATGAGACACTGTTAGCGAATTTTGATGCTATAAGAGACCAGCACTGTTAGTAAGATTTTTTTTTTTTTTTTGTCTTTTTATCGGTAGCAGGGATCGAACTCACAACTACCTGCTTGCAAGGCAGGCGCTTATGCCACTGAGCTAAATCCCCAGCCCCTGTTACTAAGATTTTAAAGAAGAACTATTCTTTTAAAAAGAAAGAAAGAAATTAGATGTTTAAGATTAAGGGTGAAAATGAATTTTAGTTTTGATACTATCTGAAATCAGTACTAGGACTCACAAATTAAATCTTTGTCTTAGGATGATTGTCACAAGTCTGGGCTTCCTGAGCAATTATAAACTGATTCTTACTGCACCCTGCTTGAGCTTAATAGTTTGTAAATATAACTCACAGAACACAGAGAAACACTTCTTTTGTCAGTTTATTTTAAAGGGTATTGCAGACAATACAGATGAAGGAATATCTAGGACAAGATTTGGAAGAGTTTCCCAGGAATTGGAATGTGCCACCTACACCAGCAGATAGATGCTAACCAACCTGAAAGTTCTTTTTTTTTTTTTTTTTTAATAGAAATTCATTTAAAAAATTATTAGTAATGTTTACATATACAATGATTACATTCATTGTGGAGATTTGTTACATGTAGATCACACACCTTAATTCATTTATGTTCTCCTTCAAGAGTTTTTATAGGAGTTAGTCTAAATCTCTCTTCCCTGTTCTCAGAGAATGGTGGGTGGGGTTGAATACTCTAGCACTCTAATCACTTGGTTATTTTAGTAACTAGCCCATCTTGTCACCTTATTAGCATAAACACAATATTTATCAGAAATGTCTTGTTAAGAATTTCGGAAAATACTTCTGGTAGTTAATTTCAAGAGTGTTAAATGATATATGTAAGGAAACTGGACAAAGACCAAGTACTTTTTATGTCAAAGGTTGTTGGAATTATCTAGGAAAGAGATGATAATGTGAAATGGTTAAATTCTGGATGTATTTTGAAGATAGAGTTGTGACTATTTGTTGATAAATGGAGTAGAGAGCCTCTCATAAAGCTTTCTGGTGTAAGCAACCAGGCAGAATGGATTTGTGTTTCATTATTGGTGAATACGAAGTGGTTTGTATTGAAGGGTCATTTTGATTTTTAAGTGTGAGCTATTAGCTATCCAAGTGAAGATGCTAAGACAGTGAGTCAATATGGAATTCTGGTGAGATGTGCAGGATTGAGACAGGAATTTGGAATTAGCATGTAAGTGATACTTAATTCCTTGAGATTGAATGGAAGCACTTGGGGAGTGAGTGTAGAGAACTCTAGACTCTTTTTTTTTTTTTTTAATTTTATTTAAAAGGAAAAAGAGAAAAACACAAAACAAAACAAAGCGGTGTAAGGGTACACGTATTACAGAACTACAAAAAAAAAACAGTAAGAAATCACCTGTTAATAGATTACATATTATAATCTTAGAAATAGTTGCTCAAATCACGCTAAACTCTTAAGCTTGGGAGTACAGTATGTTTAAAGGCTAGCACGCTGGAGAAGAACCAGCAGAGAGAGGAAAGGGCCAGTAATGTCGGAGGAAAACCAAGAGATACTGATGTCCAAGATACTAAGATACCAGATAAGGCAGCTATATCAAGAATGGCTGGCTTGTGTTGGAGATATAGCTCAGTGGTAATGTTTAGGTGTTAGGTTCAATGCTCAGCATTGTGAAAGCAGCACTATCACCATCACCATCAAACAACTGGTTCAAAACCTCCTATTGATTTAGTAATATTGAGGTTCTTTGTAACCTTTGTAGGTGTTTCGGTAGAATAGTAGAATAAAAAGCCTGATTAGAATAGGACTTTTGCTGTATATAAGGAACAGAAAAGAGGGTGGCAATTGGAGGAGGGTTGTGTGCTCAGCAGGTTTTTACTCACTGCAACCTGTTGGTCTTTGTAAATGATCCATTGGAAAAGAAAATATTACCGATAGGGAGAGTGGGACAGTTTCATGCTAGCAATACTTTATCGTTGTATTCCCAGAATTTAAACACATTTTCTTGAATTAATGAATGAATAATGAGATGGATTTTTCTAGATCTGTGCTGAATTAAAAGTATAAAAAAGAACATTTTGGTGACATTTCTTTTTTAGATTGTTGTGAGAATTAAAAGTTGTCTATAATTGGGTTAGCATTTTAGGTTATTCTTTAACCTTTTTTACTGTTCACTAGCTCCTGATTTTGTTTTTTGCCTCATAATTTCTTAGTGGGTAGTTGGAATTTAAAGTCTGCTAGTTAGGAAATTTATTTGTAAATTGAGACCATTTTACTTTTCTGATTATAATTCTCCAGTATAACAGTTGGATGTAGAATCAACTGTTCTCGTACCAGTTCCTTACTGATTTACAGTATTACCATGTGTTTTTAATACTTTATATTTTGCTTCTGATTTACAGTATAATTGCAAAATCTTGTATCAGAGTTAGCAAAATAATTTTATCCCCCTGACACCAAGAATGAGTTTGATACTTGTCTTAGTTTGTGGTTGATGATACAAAATAGCTGACATCCAAGGTTAAAGGAGGAAATGTATTTGGCCCACAGTTTGCAGAGATTTTAGTTCATAGTTGGCTGGCGCCAAGGCATGATGGCATGATAGAGGGTCATCGAAGAGGACAAACAGGCTGAAGGTAGCAGGGCAGCAAGCAACATGTGACAAATAATGACCCTCTTTTTGTCCCTTATGTGCTGTCTAGGTTACCTACCCTTAGGATGGATAACACTTAGGCTCTGGGTGGAATAACCTTAAACCTAGCATCACAGCATGAAGGTTCTAGCAGGCAAATATAGCTACTCGTATACTCTTAACCTAGGAACGGTCCTCTGTTGGGTTGTTCATCCTGTTTGAGAAGGATCCACATGGAGCAACGAAGGAGGAAGGAGACAGCTGCCTGGCTAGCAAGATTAACCAAATCACCCATGGTGGCCAGTGCAGTGTTGACTGTCACAGTCAGGTCCCTCTCACATCCAGCATCACATCCTTGATCCCACTGTCACACACCCTAGACCCAGCCACCTATGAAAAATCTGACCTATGACTACATGGTACTTTGTGGGGGACATCTAGCTATAAACCATGACAGTACTTTCAAAGGGCCATTTAAAAAAATCTAACTGTAGCAGAAACTGCTTGTGTCCTGCCACACTAAGAGTGTTTTACTGTTCTCTTTTCCCATAAAAAGTTTGCTAACTTTTGATTTTCATAATATGTAATTAATGGTTGAAATTTGTTGAGACTTACTTTGGCCCTAGTACATAACCCATTTAAAAGCTATTCCATAAGATAAGTACATTTTTAGTTAGTAAGTGCAGGTTTTTAATTAGATTTACTATTTAAACTGTTCAGGGCTGCTGTCTCTACTACTGATTTTTTTTTGGGAGGACAGGGGTTTTGTGATATGACTTATGGCTAGACTTATGGGTATTTGGACTTTGAACTAGTTTAGATATCATACTTTTTCTGGAGATCTACTTATTTTATTTTGAGACTATTTTATGTGTACATACAAATTTATGTCCTTTTTACTGTATGTTTTATTACAGTTTTAAAAAATCTGTTAGATTTTTTAAAAATTTATTTTATTTGATCTGTTTGATACAACATCAGTACTTTAGTAACTATTTGTTGGAAGATCTTTTTCTGTCCATAAGTTTCAGCCTTTGCCTGTTCTGTGCTTCTGTTATAGCTCTAGTATTTAGTTTGTTACTGTTTAACAATTTAATCTGTCGAACTTTTGAGAAGTTTAATTTATTTATACTGTGATTGTTGATATATTTGGACTTCTATCTATTTGTATTGCTGAGTCTATACTTGGTCTATTTGTTATGTCATACTGGATATATTTGCAATTCTCTCATCTGGGTCAGTTACTTTTCTCTTTGGTTCTAATTGGTAATTTAATTAAATCTGACTGGTCATTTTAATATTCATTATCTTTTAAATTCCTTTGATTAAACACAGTTTTTTATACTTGGTTATTCTAATAAGTCAGAATTTTCCAAGTATTATGCTTTATGATAACTTCAGAAATACAGCAATCAAGAGTAATGACAGGCATACGGAGTGAGTGGCTGAGACATCTTGTGTTTCGCTCATTTCCTGTTTTTTTTTTTTCTTCTTTGGTCATTTTTTGGGGGGAGTCATTGTTTGCGGGGGCTAGATAGTTCTTTCTTGTGGGGACGCTGTCTTTTATATTGTACAGCATTTATTAGCATCCCTCACTTCTACGTACCAGAAGCCAAGGATGACTTCTCCTTCTACTCTTTCTCTTAGTTGTCACAATCCAGAATGTCTGCAGATATTACCAGGTGTCCGATGGGACTGGGGATTCATCCCTAGTTGAAAACTGCTTGTATAGCTTATGTGACATTGTCCAGGGGGATACCTTATAATTCTGTACATTACAGTTTTGTTGTAAGAAATCAAGACTATACTGAGTGTTGCATACATAAAGACTTTTTTTTAAATTGGTATCAGGGCTCAAACTCATGACTTCACGCTTGCCGGGCAAGTGCTTATGCTCCTAAGCTAAATCCTTGGCCCAATAAAGACTATTTAACAGTAAATATTATTAGTCTGTTTGCCTGGAGTTTGGTTGTTTAATTGCTGACACATTAACAAAAGGACTAGGCCAGTGCATGACTTCTCTTTTTCCCTGGTGGTTTCCCCAACTAGCTGCTTTATTTTTCTGCCAGTCTCCCTTCTCATGTTATCTCCTGTTATCCATCTTTTTCTCCCCTTTTAAAGCAAAT